CGTGCCCAAGGCACCCTCGCAGATTCGCCTGAATGCCGAAAGGCCGCCCCCAGCCCCAGCCGAAGCAAGCGGAAACCACGACATCCAAACAGTCACGGCGACTCAGCCCACGCCACCCCCGGGCTGGTACGCAGCTAGCGCTGCCAGAGACATCAAGCGAGCTCAGGGTCGTCTAAGGCCTGGGGGGCCTCGAGTGGGACCCTCAGGAGGATGCTGGCCGCTGCGAGGGCGATCTGGGAGGCGGCCCCCGCCTCCAGGAGCTCGTCCGCAGACAGGAAGCCTGCGACGCTGCCATGGCCGCCGTCCTCCAGCCTGTCCTCGCAGAGGTTCTCGTCCTCGACTAGGTCCAGGCCGGGCTTGCGCTTGCGCAGGCCATTCAAGTCCTCCAGCCTTTCCTCGCAGAGGCTCGCGTACGCGCCCAGGTCCAGGCCGAGCTCGCGCTTGTGCGGGCCCTTCGGGTCCTCCAGCCTGCCCTCGCAGAGGCCCTCGTCCTCGTCCAGGCCCAGGCCGAAGGTACGCTTGTGCAGGCCCCTCATGCCCTCCAGCCTGTCCTCGCAGAGGCCCTCGTGCTCGCCCAGGCCCGAGATGTGAAGAGACTGGGGGCTGCCCAGCCACAAATATGGAAAAGAGGTTGGCTAAGCCTGTCTCAATGCTACATTGGACTCAGAAGGGGAGCGCCAGGTCGAAGCCGGATACGCAGGCCGAACTTGCCGAGGAAAAGCTCATTGCCGGTGTCCAAGACAGCAAATGTCTGGGAAGAAACCTCGATATCAAAATGTGACGAACAGGCGTAGCCTGAAGACTCGAGCGACATGCAGTGCTGGACGGGTGATTATAAAATCTGCTGCAAGAGCCCACCATTGCACAATGCAGAGAGAAAAGGTTGCTTCCAACAGTAATGGCGGCACAATCGCCCAAGCCAGCTAATAAGGGCGTGCGCCTTGCCCCTTCCCTTGTCGAAGTGTGGCATCCTGCGACCCCTGTGAAAAAACAACTGCTCTGCTGCGAGCATCCAAGCTCGCGAAGGCTGAACCAGTAGGGCCGCCTCTCTCCTGACTCAGCCCCGACGCTGCAACTGCAGTATCGGCTGCTGCACGTTGAAGTGGATCGCTGGCTGCAGAGGGCTCTTGAGAGCCAGCTGAGATCCCTGAGACAGACGCACTGCCGCCAGCGGACCTTGGTGCATAGAACTGACTGTGGCCAGACGTCCGGAGGTGGTCCGGGCCCAGGCCTAGGCCCAGGCCGAGCTCGCGCTTGTGCGGGCCCTTCGGGTCCTCCAGCCTGCCCTCGCAGAGGCCCTCGTCCTCGTCCAGGTCCAGGGGCCGAACTTGCGCTTGTGCATGCCCTGGAGGTCCTTCAGGCTGACCTCGCAGAGGCTCTCGTCCTCGACCAGGTCCAGGCCGGGCTTGCGCTTGCGCAGGCCCCTCATGCCCTCCAGCCTGCCCTGGCATAGGCCCTCGTGCTCGCCCAGGCCCAGGCCGAGCTCGCGCTTGTGCGGGCCCTTCGGGTCCTCCAGCCAGCCCATGGAGGCCCTCGTCCTCGTCCAGGTCCAGGCCGAACTTGCGCTTGTGCATGCCCTGGAGGTCCTCCAGGCTGACCTCCCAGAGGCCCTCGTCCTCGTCCAGGTCCAGGCCCAGGCCGAAGGTACGCTTGTGCAGGCCCCTCATGCCCTCCAGCCTGTCCTCGCAGAGGCCCTCGTGCTCGTCCAGGTCCCGGCCGAACTGGAGCTTGCGCATGCCACGGAGGTCCTCCAGCCGCCTCCGCAGGTGCCTGAACCCTCTGGGCAGCCGCGCCCGCGGCCTGCCGTCCAGAGGCTCCAGCTGCTCGCTGCCGTCCTCCGCGGTAGCGCCGACGTGGTCCTTGAAGCGCACGGCGAGGGGACTCGAGGCCGCCGCGCAGCGCCTTGCGCCGGAGGCCATGGCGCAACGCCGGGTTCCCGGGGACGCTCGGCGGCGGCGCAACGCCGCCTGGCACGCCGCTTTGGTCCCCCAGGGCGGTGTCTCTGGCGCCTCGAGCGCCGCGGCGTTGCCGGCGTTGCGCCTGGCCGCGGTCTCGGCCGCAGGGCGGCGCCGCGCCCGCGCAGCTCGGCGAGCCGCGGGCGCACCGAACTCGGCCGTCTCCTTCCATGCGCTCCGCGCTGCGCGCGCTGGGCCGCCCCGCCCGCGCGCCTGCGGGCAGCCCCCCGTCGCCATCGCCAAGCATCTCCTGACCGCGCGCCGCTGGGGGCGCCTGCGAGAGGTTATGGAGAATCAGCCTGAGCCAAAATGGCTACGGATGATGATGGTGGTGATGGTGATGATGATGATGATGATGATGATGATGATGATGATGATGTTGCTGATGATGATGATGATGTTGCTGATGATGATGATGATGATGATGGTTGCTGATGATGATGATGCTGATGCTGATGATGACGATGATGATGGTGATGATGCTGCTGATGATGATTATGATTATGACGACGACGATGCTGATGCTGCTGCTGATGATGATGGTTATGATGATGCTGCTGCTGATGATGATGATGACGATGATGGTGGTGGTGATGATGATGCTGCTGCTGATGATGATGATGATCATGATGATGCTGATGATGCTGATGATGATGCTGATGATGATGATGATAATGATGGTGATGCGGCTGATGCTAATTTTGATGATGATGCTGATGAAGATGACGCTGATGCTGCTGACGATAATGATGCTGCTGCTGCTGCTGCTGATGCTTATCATTATTTTCATTGTGACGATTACCATTGTTATTGTTAGTATTGGTGTTAACTAGTTTTAATCATTATTAAGCTTGTCATCAGCATCATTCTTATTATGGTTACTATTATTGTTATTAGTGTTGCGATTATTTTTACTATTATCATTCTAGTAAGTATTGTTGCCATTATTTTTTAACTATTATCAGTGTAGTAATCATTATTTTTATCATTATTCGTATGATGTTTCTGATGATGATGTTGATGCTCATGATGCTGATGCTGATGATGCTGCTGCTGATGATGTTTATGATGATGCTGATGCTGATGATGGTGATGATGCTGCTGCTGATGATGCTGATGATGTGATGCTGCTGATGCTGCTGCTGCTGCTGATGATGATGATGATGATGATGATGATGATGATGATGATGATGATGATGATGATGCTGATGATGATGATGCTGATTGTGATGATGATGACGAGGAGGGGGAGGAGGAGGAGG